TCACACTGTAATGATTTTTTATTCCAAGATTATGTTCTTTCTACTTTTTTTCTTTTTAGTTCCACGTTCTTTTTAAGTTGAAATGATGGTGATAATGGGTAGTAGGGTATTTTAAAGTCTCTTAATTGGCTAATAAAAGTTGGCCACCTTTATTGGTCCTCCAATTTTAGCTTTAAATTTTCTTGGCCCCAGGAATACATATGTCTGGAAGCTAATGCCCAGATGACATATAATCCAGTCTTTAAACCTTCATTTGTCCAACCAACGTTCAACAAGTGGCTGCTGAGTGCAAGATGAACGGGAATCCTCCCCTCGACTCAAAGAGCTTGTGGTCTTTGGGTCACACACTAGTATCACCCATGAAGGTTGCAATACCATCGGCTCTGGGGTGACAGGCTGTAAGGGACAGAGAGGTGGAGATGGCAGGGGGTCACAGTTCATCACAGGGTCCTTAACTCTTCTTAATACTTACAGGAATTGTTTAACTCATTATTAAATATCAGAACCCTTGGGGAATTAAAATTCACAGTAACAAACACCTCCTTATAGTTGCAAAATACATATTTCAGAAACTAAAAGGACAAAATAAAACTGAATCTAGGACAGGAGTAGAGGTAAAACATCTCAGACACCAAGATTTATAACTGCAAGTAGAAGAAATAAGCTATAAGCTCTAAGAAGATATTTATTAAGCAGTTGTTTGGTTAAGGACACTCAAAGGAAGGAAAACCAATGCCTAATCTCATAATATAGAGACATGAAAGCTACTGTAAACTCTTTAACATTCACAAAATCTTAAATAAAAGAAATCACAAGTCAAAATACCATTAGTAACATTTATGACACATTGCAACAACACAAATTGAGGGAGTGGTAAATTCTATACAGACCTAGAATACTGCAGGCGTCAGTGAAACAGGAGACTACGCTGTTTGGATATATTTATATGAACAAGTGCTCTGGTATACTAAACCTACCGCGCTAAAAGTGAAAAATACAAATATTTTTGTTGGTTGAGCTGGAGATTGCTTGGATTTGAGATGTTAAAATCACAGAAAATCTTCCAAACTATTCTTCCCAAATACTTTCTGTGTGGGGGGTGGGGGGCTGCGGGGGCTGTGGGGGGGCAAAGTGAGATTGGGGAGAGGATTTCTTCTGGAAAGAACATTTGTAAACATTTTGGCGGAACTTTTTGAGCGTTTACATGAGGCGTGCTTTTTGAGGGATTTATTGGTTTGCCAGTTTGGAGAGTAGTCAGTAGTCCCTTGAGCAAAGCATATACTGTGACACAGCATAAAATATTCATTGGAATACCAGCAAATATCCAGGCAATTGGGAGGAGCATGGGCATGGCAGCTTTTTTTTTTTAAGGATGATAATTCTCTCAACCAAAATGGCTAGCCTTCAACATCCTGCAAGAGTTTGCGTTCAAAAGGAAAAACACACAACAAGCCTCATCCACACCTTTCCTCTCACCTGCTTCTAACTTAGCGTATTGCCAAGAATTAACATGATTGAATTCATTTAATGTGAATTAATAAGTGACATGAACTTAAAGTAACTAGCATTTGCCACCAGCACATTTTGACTCACAGTTCATTCTCTGGGTAAAACATATTTGTGTTATCAATTTACTGAATTAGCATCGGTCACTAATCACCTAGTTAAGTAACAATTGTATATCTGCTGGTTAGTGTTGCAATTTATTTATTTATTTATTTATTTATTTATTTATTTATTTATTTATTTATTTTTAAAGATTTTATTTATTTATTTTTCCCCCAAAGCCCCAGCAGATAGCTGTATGTCGTAGCTGCACATCCTTCTAGTTGCTGTATGTGGGACGCGGCCTCAGCATGGCCGGAGAAGCGGTGCGTGGGTGTGCGCCCGGGATCCGAACCTGGGCCGCCAGCAGCGGAGCGCGCGCACTTAACCGCTAAGCCACGGGGCCGGCCTAGTGTTGCAATTTAAATTGCAAAGAAATCATAGGTGGATCATTAGATAATGAACCATGAATAACATTATCTTTATCTCTTAAAGGCATTATTTACACTAGATACAGTGTTTCTGAAAGCAGAAAGCTCTATTCTATTCACTTAAACACTGTGACAAGAAACTTTGATATACGTAAATATGTATGTCAACGTTTTAAAGATGTACACACTGTTTTTTAAAAGATAAGAGAGTGTTTTCAGCACCAGTCTTGCAAAAAGTCTCATAGTTGGTTTCTTTTAAATGTTAAATTCAAGTATGTGGATAAATGAAAAACAGCAAAAAAATTATAGCTAAAATTGTCAATGTTGAACTAATAATTGTAAATTGTTTGGAATGACTTCAGGTTCCTAATAAAAGCATGAGGGTGAAAAAGCTGAAATTGCAAGTCAAATCCCATCACAACGACCTTCATTGCAATAAAAAAGTTGACTATAAAGAAATGGTTTCCAAGGTCTGGCCAGATACTAGAAGTATTTCTAAATCTCATTGCCACAAAATTTACAGTTTTAAATAGTAAGTGTTTTCTTTAAAGCAATTATTCAAGAGTTCTTCTCATGTAACAGTCACTTCCTGTAATGAAAAGGACCCAACCCTTGACTTTGTGACACAGTATAAGGTGTGGTGACAGAAACCTCATTGCTGGATGATCAGGAAAATGGAAACATTAAAAATGAAACCAATCCCCCTTACTTTCCTTACAGTAATGAAGAGTGCTGTGAGTGTAATTACTACTAGCAGACACATTAACTGCATCTACAAATTTGACTGATTTGTGTAAGAACAGCTCATTTTGAATTTATTTTGAGCCAAATACCCAACAATATAGGGAGATGAACAGCTCTCTTGAAATGTTGGAGAACAATTTGATCCAGTGTCAATTGGAGATGTTTACTTCATAACTTAAAGATATTTGTTAGTTACCTACTACAACACAACACAAGAGTCTTCATGAGCTCATTAAGGGTAAAATCTGTGGCTTATTAATCCATAGAGTTTAGAACATACCAGGCACATACTAAATGCTTGTGAAATGACAGACTTTTAGAAACAATTTTCCTCAGTGTAAGTTCTAATTTTCCCTGAGTCTTAAACAATTTACAGAGTATGATGATTTAAAGAAGATACAAACAATAAAAAGGCATGGTATTAGAGGGCAAATTAAAGATCCCTTTCTCTAAACACCTCTGAGTTCCCAGATCAACACAAGTGGTCAGTGGTAGTCCTTACTATGTAAACCGTTGCCTGTAAGTGAGTTAGGCCAAGACTATGGACATGAACCCACAAGAAAGGGGGGACCATTGAATGGGTAAGCAACTAATTAAAAGTTAGCTTTCTCTTCAAAGCAATTAACTGTGTGATGGAAGTCAAGCCTTTTTTTCTTGTTTTCTCTCAAGTAGGATGTATTTGTAGACAAAAACTCTAAGGCTTCAAGAAACTAAATTATCTCTTTGGGATTTACTGGCACCTATTTAGGACCATAAGGCTGAATGATCTAATTAGTATGCCACGGGCTTCAATGAATCAGTGTATTTTTTAAAAATATTGATGCACTCCCAAGAATTAACTGAATAATCAATTTGCTAAAGGTCTGCATTTAGACAGGTTGATAAGCAGTTTTAGTGTCAGGAAGGATTTCAGAAATATTTCTCTAGAGAAATCATTCTAATTATGATTATGTTTTTATTTTTCTAAAATAAATAATCAATTATTTCAGCATAATAATCTTTACTTTTGGTGGGGGAAAAAAGTCAATCATGGCAGTAATTTCCCTAACTGGCTCCATCAGTTCTATAGTTAAAACAATAACTTTGTGTAGGAATTGCTTATATCACTTAGCATTGCACAGGACTATGAAGAAATCATTTTCGGAATAATATATTTAATATGCAAAAAGTTGACCACGTAGGAAGCAATGTCAACATAAATGAAAATTTTATATTTGTAACCAAAATGTACAATATTTAGTTGAAAGTGTCTAATCATTCATAATTACAATTAAGAGGGAGACTGAAAATCTAAGTAAACATATCTACCAGATAAGCAGGGGGAAGTAAAGAGCAAAGCTAATTTGGAGACAGGACATGGCATAGGCATTTTGAAATAAATGGCTATAAGATTAAAAAAACTTTTGAATATCAATAAGCAGTAGCATTTAAGGGATTCTGAATTTTTCACCATTTCTATGTTCCCTAAGTTCCTATAAAATTTCCATTGTAAGTTATAAATTATTCCTTTATTCACAAATCAAAGCCTTATGATTGGCTTAAATATTTTTGTTAAGCCAAATAAGGTAGTTTGTGATTTTGTATAATTTTTATGAAGTCTCATTTCCTGAATATTAACACATGTAATTCAACTTAATTTAAAAATGCATCTTATATTTCACACCCACTTTCTTCCAAGCATGAAGAATAGGGCATTTACATGTGATTTTTAGGATTTATCACTCTAACACTCTGCTATGATAATTTTGCTATAAAAACCCTTTTCAGGGAATGAGTATTTATTTTTAAACATTTTTTATATGATTAACAATAATTTTACATATATTCTAGATTGGTACTGTCCAATATGGTAACCAATAGCCACTAGCTATTGAACACTTGAAATGTGACTTGTACAACTTGAGGAACCGCATTTTTTATTTCAATTAATTTTACATTTAAAAACTTATAGTATTTTTAGTTATTGGATAACTTTTAAGTGTGTTTGGATAACTTAGGTTTGTGAATCTACTTTTTCAACTGCAAATTTTATGAAATCTAAATACATCAACTATTACTGATGAAAACTTAATGTCCAAACTAAGGTGTGCTGTAAGTGTAAAAAACAAACCAAATTTTAAAGACTTTGTATGAAAAAAAGAATGTAAAATTCTCATGAATAATTTTTATATTGATTACTTAAGTACCTTGCATTATTTTTTCTCTTGCGTAGCACTGTTTTGGAGCTATACGAAAACTGCTAGTGTTCAAAAGTCATGTTTTAAATTTTCTATTTTAATGTCATTCTTTTAATCAAAGCTTTCTTATCATTATGAAAAAGTAAATCAGATTTAGTATTTATCCAGTAAGAAGTGCCCTTATTGACCTCTCTGCCCTTCCTCCTTTCTCCAGATCCTAGCACTACCAGCAGAATGCAAAATCATAGGCAATGAATATGCAGAAATAGTGTATGAGAGCACTGGTGAGTTTGCAATCAAATCAAACTGCTCACACACTACAAATTCTATCGTTTCTTTCCCCTCAATTGTTTCCAGACCTATGTGTCCCTAATTCCAGAATTAACCTTCAACTTCCTCCCACGTTCTGCTGTGCTATGGCTTCTGGGTTAGAATAATAAGCGATGACTTTGCTCAGCAATGTGCTTGGTCATGTATTAATACTAGATTCTGTCCAGGCGCGAGAACTTTCATCCTTCAGAGTGGAGAGCTTCCTCTGAGAGAAAGGTTCAAATCCCAGAAGTTTGAACACCGCCACCCGGTACTTCTTGGACATGATGTTGTACAGAATGGGGTTGATGGCAGCGCTGAGGTAGAAGAGAACAAAGGACACGAGGTTGCAGTATTGGCTGATTTGAGCAATCTCCAGGGAGCCAGGCTCAAAGGATTTGGAAAATAAATATCGCCCTACGTGGAAGGGCAGCCAGCAGAGGATGAATGCAAACACCACTACAGCTAAAAGGACAATGAAAGAGAGAGTGTCAGTTTAAGAAATGTCACAGCAAATTTCACATTCTATTTTGAAGACCTAGTTTTGTTTGGAGTATGTATCGTATGACTCTTGACTTCAGAGAAACATTATGTCCTGCACTTCCACATTCCTACATTTTAACCAAGATTGAGTCTGTCTGGACCAAGAGTTCAATCATTTTTACTGAGCTCACCTGTCATTTCTATTTAACAGCTATTTGAGTGATTTTGTGATTGAGTTGACATATCGACTCAACTAGACAATTTATTCACAATAGTCCGTCATTTTGTATATGTTAGACACGACCGAATATATATGAGATCAAGTGGTTATACTCAACCATAGCTATGTATGAGAGTTGCCTTAGGCACAGATTCCTTGGATCTAATACAGACTCAACACATTAAAATCTCTAGGAAGGAGACCAGGGCACCTACTTTTTTCTTTTCTTTTTAAGGTTTCCCAGAGACTGAATATGCAGTCAAGATTGAGAACCACTGAGAAGGATGAAACATTGCCACCTACAATTGACATAAGTATGGTATAAGAGGCAATAAAACCAACTAATATTAATTATCATCCATCCCAGTCTTCATTTTTCCCATATAAGGTAATTTTTTTCAAGATCTCTGAATTTCTGGATTAAATTTTTATAATTCAGAAATCAGAGGGAAAAGAACAGAAAATAATATTTTAGTCCCTTCAAACTGTCAAAGCAAAAGAAAATTAACCCTGGTGTTGAGACACCAATGAGGATAATTAACATCCAAAAAATAAAATTGGAGGAAATTATTAAACTTTTTCTCAAAACCAAGATGCGTAGTCGCAACTGTCACAGTAGCAACGTGAATATTAGAGTCCCCTGGGGGCACTGGCAGGTTTACAATCTGTTAGTCATATTGAGAGAAACACCGGTCTAGAAATGAAAATTTTTGATGTTCTTTGAATAAACTCTATCACTTTACAGGATTCCAGGAATTGTAAAATTACAAATACGAAATCGTCCTGGAATGACTTCTAAGAAGCACTAAATATGCAAATAAGTACAAAATGTTGACTTTTTTATAATGATGTCCAAATAATAAAACATACAGATTCTGGTTTTGAAAAAGCAAGTAGAATTAATATTTTGCTTAGATGTGAATACATTTTGTATTACTTCACTTGTACCAAACACATATACTTAAAGAAGTTGGATTTATGCAATAAAGATTCAGCACACTCCAGTCGTGGCACTGCACCCTGATGTTCTCTGAAGGACACTTTCAGGAGGGATAATAAATCCTGTCAGTTTCCACAGAGTCTCCTTTTCTCCTGTGGGAAGCCTGCCTATCCTAGCTTATCCTAGCCAATCCTACCTGGAGAGACAGGTACTCATGAAAACAAACGGAGACTGCAGCACTGGCTTGTCACAGACTTCCCTACAAAGCTGTATGAACAGCAACAGGGTAACAGAATCAACGCGATTATTTGAAAAAATGCAGGTCAGAAAGCACATCACAATATTAAATGAAAAATGAATAATCTCTGACAGACTTATCCACATTGGTCATGTCTTTGGTTAAATTTACCACTGAATATTTTCTAGATCCACTGGTTTTTTTTCAATGCCTATGTTCTCAATGCAACTTAGATAGCCACAAATTGAGGAAGGAGACTCAATCTCACCTTTAACACTTAAAGACCACAACAGACTTTTGTGAAATATCTCAGTTGTGAAGCAAAGTTTCTGGGCTGATATGAAAGTCATTTTAGGGAAATACACAGGTGGGACAGCATTCCATGAAAGAGAGACAGGAGAGAACAGAGGAAAGAGACACCAAGAGATGAGAGAGACCAAAAGAAAGAGTCAAAACAGTGACAAACTGGGGGGAGGGGAGAAGGAAGGAGGGAGAGAAAGAGGAAGAGAGAAAAGCAGATAGATATAGAGAAAGAGCAAAAAAGTTAAAAAAAAAAAAAAGAAAGAGGGAGAGACGAACACAACGGAGAAACTAAGAGATGCAAGAGAGACCTCAAGACAGAAACGGGAGGGAGGGAATAATTGAGAGACATACAGGGAGACAGAGACCTGGAGAAACAGGAGAGCAGTAGACTCAGGGAGGAGGGGAAAGGCGCGGGGAGAGGAGAGGCCCCGGGAGAGAGAGCTCGAGCGCGCGCTGAGACCCACCCAGCATTTTCACGGTTTGCTTGTGGTTCTGGTCCCTGAGCGAGGTGCCCGCGGCCGCCTCGCCGCGCCTCCTCCGCCACAGCTTCCTGCTGATGAGGCTGTAGAGCACAGTGAGGCAGAAGACAGGCAGGAAGAAGAAGACGCTGGACACCCACACCATGACTGTGAGCAGTCCCGAGCGCACGGCGAACTCGGTGGCGCGGCACTCGTTGGTGTCCCGAGGGTCGGTGCCATTCTCATGCTCCACCCCCACCAGCACGAAGATGGGCCCGGCGCTGCAGAAGGCCACGGCCCAGATGACCAGGATGACCAGCTTCACCCGACCCTTGGTGACCACCACCTTGGCCCGCAGCGGGAAGCAGATGGCGAAGTAGCGCTCGACGCTCAGCGCGGTGATGGTGAGCACCGTGGCGTAGGTGCAGCTCTCGCTGACGAACTGGAAGAGTTTGCAGAGCAGGTCGCCGAAGTTCCAGGGCCGATACTGCCAGAGGCGGACGAGGTCGAGGGGCATGCAGAGGAAGATGAGCAGGTCGGAGAAGGCCATGCTGGACAGGTAGAGGTTGGTGGTGGTACGCATATCGCGGAAGCGAGACACCACCAGCATGGTGAGCAGGTTGCCCGCGATGCCCACCACGAAAAGAGCCACGCAGGTGGCGGTGACACCGGCCAGGAGAGGCGCGGGGAAGAGCGGCAACAGCTCGTCCGCTAGCGAGTCGTTGTCGGGGGAAGCGTCCCAGCCGAGGTCCGGCAGCGTGAGGTTGGGTCCCGGCTCCTCGCTCGGCGTCGCGTTCCACATGCTGCCGGCTCAGCTTAACTGGCTCTAGGATGCGCCTGAGCTGAAAGGCTGGACCGGGCTGGTCCCCGGGAAGGTCCCTTTAGCGCGAGAGAGTGCGAGGGCGGAGCGGGCGTGGGCTCGCGGGGAGGATGCTTGGAGAGGAAAGAGAGGAAAGTGAGAGGCAGAAGCCGAGGGAGAAGGTGAGATTGATAGCCTGAGGCCGGGAGGAGGCGAGAGAGGGAGGCAGGACGACACACCCACACCTACCCACTCTCTCTCTCTCCCTCTCCCTCTCTCTCTCTCTCTCTCTCTCACACACACACACACACACACACTGGTGGCGAGGAAGACAGAGTGACCCACCGCTCTTTCTGGCACCTCCCCTTTCCCCCATCCTCTCCCCCGAAGTCCCTCTCTCCTAACCCAGCCTCTGTCCGGCCTGTACACACGTACCTGTCACCGGGGCAGCCCCGCCGGCTCTGCCTCTCCTTCGCGTTCTCGCTCCAGCTGCATCTCGCACTTCCCAAAGCGCCCTGGCGCGTGGGGACCAGGGAGACCCGGCACTGCGAACCGGGAGCGCGAGGAGCTTTCTCCTGGCTATTGTGGCCTAGAGGGCAAGTCGCACCTGGGGTTAGGCGCGGGGACGGTGGAGGCAGCTGGGAGAACGGTTTCAGTTGCCGGGACCTGAGTTTTTCCTCAACAAGGGGTAGAGCTGGCTATGGACCTGGTGAAGAGAAGAATCTAGCGTGCCCAACTGGGCTTGGAAAAGGGGGGCAGGGAGTAAAAACAGAGAGACCTAGTGTTTGTGTTCCGACCGGAGAGGAGACCGATGTGCACCTGGGAAGATCTCACCATAGTCCTAGAACCTATCATCATGTTATCGAGGAGAAACAGGCTCAGAGACGTGTGGCCACTTGTCCAAGGTCACAAGCGAGTTGGGGGCTCAGGGACTAGACTTGGATCTCCCACCTGGTTTGGACTTCTGAGCGTGAAGGGACAAGATGTTTGAATAAACTCTGTTCTGAATCCCAGCGCTTTGTACAGGGACCCAGCTCGGCAGTGGTAGGCGCTACGCTGTGTAAGAGATTACTTTTGCCTGATTCAAACCTTGGGGGAGGAGGAGGGGCAACAGGAAAGGGGCGTGTTGGGAGGAGAGTAAGGGGCAGCAAAGGAGGAGGAGCAGAGTCTGTCAGGCTGACACCTCGAGGGTGTGCAGTAAAAATTTTTTTGAGGCATGACTGAGAGAGCTCAGCCGTTGGGTAACTGTGTTCACTTGGTCAAGGTCATCAACATTTTTATTTTAAATTTCGAGGATGTTATGAAGACCACGGGGAGGGGATGTCAAGTGTTGGAGACAGAGTTGAAGCTCCAGTTAATGTAGGCTGCGGTGCTGTCATTGGGGTTGCTGTTGAGGGGCAGGAGACGCCCCCGTGGGATTGGGTCGGAGGCCGCCCCTAGACTCGCGAGGTGACTCCCCTGGACGCGGCCTGTGCATTCCCTGCCCAGAGCCAGGAATCGACAACTGAAGACGTGAGACTGGCGACTGCCTTCGAACTCACCAACCGGACGAGCATCTTCCGGCTAGTCAACCTGGGACAGCCCGGGAGGGTGTTCAGCACCGCGGCCAGCGACCGGCCCCTTCTACCGAGCGGCCCAGCTCTCGCGAGCTGCGGCGCCGCCGCCCGCACCTTTTTCCGCTCGGGCCACAGCATCTCAGTCCTGCTCCACGAGGAAGAAGCCGGGGAGATTCCTCCCAAGCACAGATCGGCATTAAGCGGCTGCGCTGACCGCACCTATCCGCGCTCACCTGCCTCTGGCCTAAATGAGAATCCATTCACTGTGTAGGGGAGAGGGCTTTCTCGAAGCATTTTTGTGTGCTTGCACATGACTTTGACAAACGGTTTACATCATCTCTGCCACCTAAATTGTTAATGTTTAAAAGTCCGCAAAGACCTAAGGCTGGATGTATGCACACGTGCATGAAAGATTCCACACATAGTGAGAGACTGCATGAGGGGAGTTTAATACAGGGAAACCTACTGGAGGACATGCTACAAGTTACCCCTGGTGTGTTACAGATGTTGGACCAAATTGATTTTTTAAAAAATTTACTTCAAACTACTATTTTAAAAAAGATTACAACTAAGTCAAGCCACCAGTTACTAAAAAAAATAATAATTTAACTTTAACACTTCCTACCCTACGTTATCAGTAGATTTATGTGTGCAGCCATATTTTTAAGGGAAGAAAACAGATTGAGATAAACAAAAGTACTGTCAGAAGCTATCATCTAAGAATAAGAATCAAGAAAAGATTGTGGGGCATAGTTCTAGTCTACTCAGTGCTAACGCAATGGCTGATAGGAAAAAATCTAAAAAAAAAAGGTATTGTGATAAAAATTTGGCATGTTGGCTAAAATAGCCTGCTATTTAACTATATTCAATCATTTTCTAAAATATAGGCAAATTTGCATTGTGTGATGAGGAAGAAAGAGAGGATACTATTGAAGTTGATCCATTCATTCACAACACATAATACTATATAATACATAAAACTATTTATAAGTATGTGCTAGGCACTGGGAATAACGTGATAAATAAAACCCACACAGGTCCTGTATTTATGAACCTACAATCTAGAGAGAAAAATACAGTTAAACAGCAATTCCAGTACAGTATGATACTTGCATTTAAAGAGGCATGTACAATGAGTTCTGTTGAAATACGGAGAAACAATAAACTATGTAGAGGTTTCAGGGAAGGCTTCTCAGAGGCAGTGGCATCTGAGCTGGATCTTGAAAGTTGAGTTCTGTCAGATGAAGCAAAACATGCTAAACTGTTCAGACAAGGGGCACAAAAACACATTGGATCGAAAGAGCCCCGCATACCTGGTCCTTTGAATGGTGTAGGGAGTATTATTATGGATTCATAGATTTTTATATAGTCAATGTGTACAAATCAGTTATAGTTATTTTTTCTTTTTGATGCTTAAATTGTCCTTCTTTGGCCAAAGGGATCCCCTTCAAGCTGACTCTGGAGTCTTCTGACATGACTCAGATTTTGAGAACTTCCTTGCTTTGTGGCACAATAAGATACCCTAGCTCACCTTGTAAATTCCCTTCTCTAGACCCAGGAGCAGCCATTTCTCCAAGAATCCCTGGTACCCTGTAGTGGAGAATGGCATTTAACGACCTAAATTTGGGCACTGGGGGTGGTTACTGCCCCTGGAGCATTATAAACTAGACCCTGTCTGTGGACAGAGATAGGATATATGTTTTTTAAAAATCATGAGATGATGATGTTACAGTAGATAAGTCAAACACACCGTTAGCAAGTGATCAAAATTAACATCACCAATGTGATGCTTTGGGAAGGACACAATGTCACTTATATATTATTCTAGCTAGGAAAACACAATCTCAATCTAATCACAGGGAAACGTCAGACAAACTCAAAATGAGGAATATTCTATTTTTAAAATTCTTTAGAAAAAGTCAATGTTATGTAAGACAGAGAAAGACTGAGAAAATGTTCCAGACTAAAGGAGACTGAAGAGACATAACAGCTAATTGTAATTCCTCATCCTAGACTGGGTCCTAAACTTCTATAAAGAGTATTGGGTCAATTGACTTAGAATATGGGTGGTAGAGTAGAGAGAAGTATTGAATCAATATTAAGTTTACTGAAGTTAATAACTGTGTGAAAGAAAATATTCTTGTTCTTAAAAGTACACACTCAACCATGATTTATGTACCTGTTTCAGAAAAAACATTACACCTGTGTGTGTGTAGATAAATAGAGCAAATGATAAAGCAAATGGGGCAAAATGTAAATAATAAAAGAATCTGGGGGGCCAGCCTGCTGGCGTGGTGGTCAAGTTCGCATGCTCTGCTTCTCTGTCTGGGGTTCGCAAGTTCGGATCCTGGGCGCGGACATGTGCACAGCTCATCAGGCCCTGCTGTGGCAGCGTCCCATATACAAAAAAGAGAAAGATGGCCACGAATGTTAGCTCAGGGCTAATCTTCCTCAGTGAAAAGAAGAGGATTGGCAACGGATGTTAGCTTAGGGCCAATCTTCCTCACCAAAAAAAAAAAAAAATCTAGGAAAATGGTAAAATAACTTTCTTTATACTATTCTTGCAACTTTTCGTTAAGTTTTAAATTATTTCCACATAAAAATTGAGAAGTCCTAAGTTTATATAGATACTTCAATTCAATTTCCAATTATTTGCTTATTTGATTTTATATTTATACTGAACATCCTGGTTTCTAACAACATAAACATAATCATTTATGTTAAAATATGCATTAAATGATTTCAAACTAATAACATCAACATTACCACTAATAGTAAACTTGACAAATAAAATTTGAGATTTTCTTGCAGTTCTCTTTTATCCTTAGAATATATCCCACTAACTGTGTACAACTACTGTGTTCTAAAATTACTTGAAATAATGCTTTTCTTTGTGTGGTTATATTTCCAATTTGATATATAGTTAGATTTATTTGTTTCAGTTACTTTCAATTTTAGGAATTATTTTAAAATTAATATTTTATTTCTGAATATATAAAACATTTCTATGATTTTGCAGTTAAAACTTTAAAACAAAGCATGGTCCTAAATTTAATTCTTTAAGCCAAAGAATATTCAGGAAAATGTTACTCCTTTTTCATACTCACCAATAGATATTATTTTAAAAATTTAGCTTCTGGTTTACCTGTCCTGTGTGTGTTTCTGTAAATGTGTGAGTGTGTAGTCTACATAAAAGATAATATACTATATACACTCCCCACTGTCTTGATTTTTTAAATGTAACATTATATCCTGATATTCTCTCATATCAATATTCTTTTTTTAAATGATTTTATAGTACTCCATCTTGAGAAAGTTACATAGTTTCTATTATGGACATGTACCTTAGTTTCATTCCACCAATGTTTTATTGTTTTTGTTTGTTTGTTTTAATAATCTTTTACTATTGTAAATAATGCTGCATAGGTCATTTTATATGCCTACAGGTATATTACAGAATCATATAAAAATAAAATTACGGTTTAATAAAGGCACAA